TGGAGCGCATCACTCACGTTTTACCCCGCTTAGTAAAACCCGGCGTGAGCCCTCCCAGGGGTGAGCCCTCCCAGGGGTGAGCCCTCCCAGGGGTGAGCCCTCCCAGGGGTGAGCCCTCCCATGGGTGAGCCCTCCCAGGGGTGAGTCCTCCCAGGGGTGAGCCCTCCCAGGGGTGAGCCCTCCCAGGGGTGAGCCCTCCCAGGGGTGAGCCCTCCCAGGGGTGAGCCCCTCCCAGGGGTGAGCCCCTCCAGGGGACATCCTGGTGTAGGCGGCCACACACACGCCACGGTAACAATATTTCCCCGTGGGTAATGAGTCAAGAACTGGGAGAGTCTGACACCTTGATTGGTTGGGAGGAGTTGTTAAAGCTTATCTAGAGCTTATCTAGAGATGATTTCGGGGCTTTTAGTGTCCCCGCGGCCCGGTCTTCGACCAGGCCTCCACCCCCAGGAAGCAGCCCGTGACAGCTGACTAACACCCAGGTACCTATTTTACTGCTAGGTAACAGGGACATAGGGTGAAAGAAACTCTGCCCATTGTTTCTCGCCGGCGCCTGGGATCGAACCCAGGACCACAGGATCACAAGTCAAGTGTGCTGTCCGCTCGGCCGACCGGCTCCCTAAACTATACCAGGTAAAGTAACCGGGCGATTGTTCAGCCTCGGTGCCTGACGACCAGCCTACTAGACAACCAGCCTACTAGCCAACCAGCCTACTAGCCAACCAGCCTACTAGCCAACCAGCCTACTAGCCAACCAGCCTACTAGCCAACCAGCCTACTAGCCAACCAGCCTACTAGCCAACCAGCCTACTAGCCAACCAGCCTACTAGACAACCAGCCTACTAGCCAACCAGCCTACTAGCCAACCAGCCTACTAGCCAACCAGCCTACTAGCCAACCAGCCTACTAGACAACCAGCCTACTAGCCAACCAGCCTACTAGCCAACCAGCCTACTAGCCAACCAGCCTACTAGCCAACCAGCCTACTAGCCAACCAGCCTACTAGACAACCAGCCTACTAGCCAACCAGCCTACTAGCCAACCAGCCTACTAGACAACCAGCCTACTAGCCAACCAGCCTACTAGCCAACCAGCCTACTAGACAACCAGCCTACTAGCCAACCAGCCTACTAGCCAACCAGCCTACTAGCCAACCAGCCTACTAGCCAACCAGCCTACTAGCCAACCAGCCTACTAGCCAACCAGCCTACTAGCCAACCAGCCTACTAGCCAACCAGCCTACTAGACAACCAGCCTACTAGCCAACCAGCCTACTAGCCAACCAGCCTACTAGACGACCAGCCTACTAGCCGACCAGCCTACTAGCCAACCAGCCTACTAGCCAACCAGCCTACTAGCCAACCAGCCTACTAGCCAACCAGCCTACTAGCCAACCAGCCTACTAGCCAACCAGCCTACTAGCCAACCAGCCTACTAGCCAACCAACCTACTAGCCAACCAGCCTACTAGACAACCAGCCTACTAGCCAACCAGCCTACTAGCCAACCAGCCTACTAGCCAACCAGCCTACTAGCCAACCAGCCTACTAGACAACCAGTCACACAGCTATACTGCAGTATGGGTGTTGGCGGGACGCTGGTGGAGAGGGTGAAGTACATGTGTGCAGCTCCCCTAGAATGTATGGTGGAGAAAGGGAAGTTTCAGGGGGAAAGCGCCAAGCCATTACGACTATATACTATATAGCACTGGGCAGGAGTCAGGATAAGGATTTGGGGTGGGACGGGGGAAGGAATGGTGGCCAACCACTTGCACCGTCAGCCGTCAGGGGATTGAACGCTGACCTGCATGAAGCGAGGCCGTCGCTCTACCGTCCAGTGGAAGGGGGGTTTATATAGGGGAAGAGGAAGCTTACATCACCTGAGGGAAGGTGTCGTGTGCCAAAACGTTGTCGTCAAGGTTGATGAAGCTCATCCACCTCCGCCCACACTGCTGAGCCTCGACCCCCAACCTGAGCAGCAGCTGGCCAGGGCGCGTGCCACGTGTGGGGGAGAACAAGTGGTTCACAGTGGAGTTAAGCGCGTGCCCTTGTATGTCCCGGGGTCTACATGTCCCGGGGTCTACATGTCCCGGGGTCTACATGTCCCGGGGTCTACATGTCCCAGGGTCTACATGTCCCGGGGTCCATGTCCCGGGGTCCATGTCCCGGGGTCCATGTCCCGGGCACCACACACGTGCTTGGGCGCCAGTCATTTCCTCTGGTTGACCTATACCAGTAACTAGGTCCCCGGGAGCAAGGGACTTGTGATGGGCTGCAGCCTGGGGGAGGGTGGGTGGTAGGCCCCAGGGACAGACCTCTATACGTGTCCTACTCTCCCACACAACAGCAATATTATGAGGAGAAATATGGCATCCTGGGGATCTGTAAATTATCACCCCCCCCCCTCACCTGTGTCACTATCACCCCCTCACCACCACCACCATCACCACCACCCTCTCACCACCACCACCATCACCACCACCCCCTCACCACCACCACCCCCTCACCACCACCACCATCACCACCACCCTCTCACCACCACCACCCCCTCACCACCACCACCATCACCACCACCCTCTCACCACCGCCACCCCCTCACCACCACCACCCCCTCACCACCACCACCCCCTCACCACCACCACCCCCTCACCACCACCACCACCACCACCACCCTCTCACCACCACCACCCCCTCACCACCACCACCCCCTCACCACCACCACCCCTCACCACCACCACCCCCTCACCACCACCACCACCACCACCCCCTCACCACCACCCCCTCACCACCACCACCACCCCCTCACCACCACCACCCCTCACCACCACCACCCCCTCACCACCACCACCACCACCACAGCCACCACCACCTTCACCACCCCCACCCCCACCCCCTCACCACCACCACCACCACCACCACCACAGCCACCACCACCACCACCACAGCCACCACCACCTTCACCACCCCCTCACCACCACCACAGCCACCACCACCACCACCACAGCCACCACCACCACCACAGCCACCACCACCACCACCACCCCCTCACCACCACCACCACCTCCACCACCCCTCACCACCACCACCACCACAGCCACCACCACCACCACCACAGCCACCACCACCACCACCACCACCACCACCACCACCCCGTCACCACCACCACAGCCACCACCACCACCACCACCACAGCCACCACCACCACCACCACCACAGCCACCACCACCCCCTCACCACCACCACCCCCTCACCACCACCACCCCCTCACCACCACCACCACCCCTCACCACCACCACCCCCTCACCACCACCACCACCACCACCACCACCCCCTCACCACCACCCCGTCACCACCACCACAGCCACCACCACCACCACAGCCACCACCACCACCACCACCACCCCCTCACCACCACCACCCCCTTACCACCACCACCACCACCACCACCACCCCCACCCCCTCACCACCACCACCACAGCCACCACCACCACCACCACCACCACCACCCCCTCACCACCACCACCACCACCCCCTCACCACCACCACCACCACCCCCACCCCCTCACCACCACCACCACAGCCACCACCACCACCACCACCACCACCACAGCCACCACCACCACCACCCCCTCACCACCACCACCCCCTCACCACCACCACCCCCTCACCACCACCACCACCACCACCCCCTCACCACCACCACCACAGCCACCACCACCACCACCACCACCACCACAGCCACCACCACCACCACCCCCTCACCACCACCACCCCCTCACCACCACCACCCCCTCACCACCACCACCACCACCACCCCCTCACCACCACCACCACAGCCACCCAGGACCCAATAAGGCCGTGGTCTGAGGGGCAGGAGACCAGCTGCTGGACTATATATACACACATGACACTTGGCCCCCATAGTGCGGCCTTGACAATGATGCGGGTTCACTCACCCGGCCATACCTCAGCCCCGCCTTGTTGTGCTCCCTCCTGTACTCCCCTACTGGTGCTCCCAGAGCTTGGGCTCTTGGGCCCCGCCTCGCAATAGACAATCAAGACGTGTGTCGTGTTTGTTGGAGGGAGGGTGTCATATGTGTGTGGGTGTCGTGTGGTAGTGTGTTGTGGAGTCATTAGCGTTATATTAAACTAGTCACTAAGTACTGTCATGTAACACGGGAGTCATTAGTAAAGTCTTAAGTATATCAACACATACTACAACAGGGGAACAAAGGATATAAATTGGATAATTTTAGATTTAGGAAAGACCTGGGTAAATACTGGTTTGGTAACAGGGGTTGTGGATTTGGGGAATAGATTACCGGGTAACATAATTGACGTAGGCCTCCCTTGATTGTTTCAAGCGTAGGTTAGACATATGAATGAGTTTGGGTGGATATATATGGGAGTTGCCACATATGGACCAGTATGTCTTCTGCAGTGTCCTTGAATATAATGTTTTTGTTTATCGTGTTATTGACATACAAAATGTGTGAGGAAGTTCACCTGGCGCGGACGGCTTGACCACAGCCGTTCCGGGTGAACCAAATCTTACCGTAATATTTTGTTTAACGTTGTTAGGAACTGCAAGACTATTTGGCATGTTGACCAGACCACACACTAGAAGGTGAAGGGACGACGACGTTTCGGTCCTTCCTGGACCATTCTCAAGTCTATTGTGAATGTCATCCACTATTTGGCGTACCGACTGACCCTGCCCACGCGCTGGCTTTTACTGGTAGGCGAACAGAGGCATCGCGTGTTAGCAAGCCCAATTAACTTCTCCGGTAATCGAATGTTGGATCTTTTAGTCGGGAGCGTGGCATTAAACAAGTTCTCGAAAATTTGGAGACTTGTTGTGTTGCATCCAGAGGAGGCCAGTCGCTGACATCAAGAAACCATTCCGGTTACGCTGTACACTAACAAACAACATAGTCTATCCTATCATAGATACACTAGTTCGTTTTCTGTGGTTGTAAATGTAGTCCATTTTCTGTTTCAGCCGGTGTGCCATGACCCACCGGAGTGTAGCATCTGCGGGGAGACTTCACTAAAAGGTATGACGCCCACACCTCTGGCTTCAGTACTCATTTAAAATGGTGTATTGTGTCTTAAAATATCCGAGTTACGTAGCTGTTCGTTATTATATCACCGGTTATTAAGGTACGTCAGTAACGTTGTGCGTAATTAATGGCTTTATGTAATGTACAATTATTGTAACTTGAGTTACAGCCACAACCTGCCGGAAACTGTGTGTGCGTTAGTGTCTTTGTAACAACAATGTTATGTACTCTCACAACCCAATGTACCGTCTTGTATATAAATAAATAAAATAATAGTAATAATAATAATAATATTTTATTTAGGAAAATAATAATATTATTATTTTAATAAATAATAAATGTTATTGCTATTTTAATAAATAATAAATGTTATTATTATTTTATTTATTATTTTATTAATATTGTTTAATATATAATATTAATATTTAATATAATATATATATTATTAATATTATTTTATTTATTATTTTATTAATATTGTTTAATATGTAATATTAATATTTAATATAATATATATATTATTAATATTATTGTATTTATTATTAAATAATAAATTGTAATAAATAATATAAGTTTTGTGTCTAATAAATAAATTAATAAGAGTTAAGTGGATTTTCAATATAGAATATTCGATTTTTTTATTTACGAAGATGCATTGGGTTTTATAATAATTTTGGTGCCTACAATACAATATAGTGGAGAACTACAGTATCAATACAGTAGATGGCGTAATAGTATGCATATTCTACAATACAATATAGTGGAGAACTACAGTATCAATACAGTAGATGGCGTAATAGTATGCATATTCTTGCTAGTGCATAATATTATGCTATTCTTGTTACCTAGCAGTAAATAGGTACCTGGGAGTTAAGTCAGCTGTCACGGGCTGCTTCCTGGGGGTGGAGGCCTGGTCGAGGACCGGGCCTGGGGGACACTAAAAAGCCCCGAAATCATCTCAAGATAACCTCAAGATCTCAAGATAGTGCAATGGGGCAGTGAGCCTTACACTGCTACACTGTCTAATGTCACTTGTCAGTATCCGGTAGAAACAGAGTATATCCTGTTGCATCACCGTGAACCTGTAGGGAAGGCATGTTCAACAGTAAGTCCCCTGTCCACCTTGCGATGATATCAGGGCTTAGCGTCCTCGCGGCCCGGTCCTCGACCAGGCCTCCTCGTTGCTGGACTGGTCAACCAGGCTGTTGGACGCGGCTGCTCACAGCCTGGTTGGTGAGGTATCCTTCAGAGGTGGAGCCTCGCGCCTTGGCTCAGCGTAGCCAACATTACCTCCACTAGTCGCCTTTGTGTTTGCATATAACTTTTTATTATGTCTTTATGTTTACCAATGCAATTAGGAACTTGTCTAAAGAGTATATAATTTCCTGCATTTAATGAGGTAAGTTAATATATATTTTCTTAAGTTTCATGATAATAATATCCTGGTGCGTATTATGTTGATGAAGCGTGTTACCTCTGCTGTTACTAGTGTCGGATTTCTTATGTCAATTTTGCTTCGCTGAAAGTAGGCTTTCATAAATTTTAGGATATAAGGTTGTTACTGAAAACCCAAGGTTGTGCGTGGCTTATCATCCCGGGCTTCAAACCCCAAGGCAAACACACCATCATCCTCGGATAGTCTTTACTATTTTTTAAGCTAATTTTATAACAGATAGCGTGCTCTAAACTGACCCTTAAAAACTAAACCTAGAGAAAAACTGTCCTGACGGCTTCAGCTGGCATCATCGGTATTTATAGACCAGCCATTATGACGTCATTATCCTGCAGATTTTTGGCGGGAAGAAATATGATTGGTCAGAGATTACCCGCCAAGACAAAGGACATATTCGATGCATACAACGTCAACAATTCTGGCAGGCATTTATCGCGTATAAAACATGCCTCGCTCTATTACCGGGGAATCTTCCGACCCACTGAGTGACCTGCTAGGAACACAGCGTGAGAGCTCAGTGAGAAAATACCGGAATGTGTGTTGGCGCGAAATCAGGTGCAAGAGGTGGGTGGAGTCGCGCTGGGCCGGGCGTGTAGGCGGGCTAGGCTATGGGTCCTGGCCGCCGCGGGGGGAACACCCTCTCCTCACTCCTGGCTGCAATCTGCAATCCTGCAATATAATAACCTCTAATGCTATCCTCATACATGTTCAGTTCATCGGATCTTTTGTCTACAGCATAACTATAATATTTATAGATATATTGTACAGTTAAGTCAGACAACTTGATGAATCGCGAGAAACTGTTGGTTTGGACATGATGTTAATATACAAATGTAATTGAATCACAAGAATTCTCAGAAAATTTCAGTGCAAAATGTAATAGATGAGGCTTGATAAACCGATCCTTATCATCTAGATAAATTAGCACGTTTTGTAAAAAGCATGACTTGCTAGTGCCATACGCTTTGTAATCATGGACAGTATACAATTAAAAATAGGGGTGATAATATATATATATATATATATATATATATATATATATATATATATATATATATATATATATATATATATATATATATATGTCGTACCTAGTAGCCAGAACACACTTCTCAGCCAACTATGCAAGGCCCAATTTGCCTAATAAGACAAGTTTTCATGAATTAATTGTTTTTCGACTACCTAACCTACCTAACCTAACTTAACCTTACTTTTTCTGCTACCTAACCTAACCTAACCTATAAAGATAGGTTAGGTTAGGTTAGGTAGGGTTGGTTAGGTTCGGTCATATATCTACGTTAATTTTAACTCCAATAAAAAAACTGACCTCATATATAATGAAATGGGTAGCTTTATCATTTCATAAGAAAAAAATTAGAGAAAATATATTAATTCAGGAAAACTTGGATTATTAGGCAAATCGGGCCTTGCATAGTAGACTAAGAAGTGCGTTCTGGCTATTAGGTACGACATATATATATATATATATATATATATATATATATATATATATATATATATATATATATATATATATATATATATATATATATATATATGTCGTACCTAGTAGCCAGAACGCACTTCTCAGCCTACTATGCAAGGCCCGATTTGCCTAATAAGCCAAGTTTTCATGAATTAATGTTTTTTTCGTCTACCTAACCTACCTAACCTAACCTAACCTAGCTTTTTTTGGCTACCTAACCTAACCTTACCTATAAATATAGGTTAGGTTAGGTTAGGTAGGGTTGGTTAGGTTCGGTCATATATCTACGTTAATTTTAACTCCAATAAAAAAAAATTGACCTCATACATAGAGAAAAGGGTTGCTTTATCATTTCATAAGAAAAAATTATAGTAAATATATTAATTCAGGAAAACTTGGCTTATTAGGCAAATCGGGCCTTGAATAGTAGGCAGAGAAGTGCGTTCTGGCTACTAGGTACGACATATATATATATATATATATATATATATATATATATATATATATATATATATATATATATATATATATATATATATATATAATATGTCGTACCTAGTAGCCAGAACGTCGTACTCGGCCTACTATGCAAGGCCCGATTTGCCTAATAAGCCAAGTTTTCCTGAATTATTATATTTTCTGTTTTTTTTCTTATGAAATGATATAGCTACCCATTTTATTATGTATGAGGTCAATTATTTTTTATTGGAGTTAAAATTAACGTAGATATATGACCGAACCTAACCAACCCTACCTAACCTATCTTTATAGGTTAGGTTAGGTTACGTAGCCGAAAAAGTTAGGTTAGGTTAGGTAGACGAAAAACAATTAATTCATGAAAACTTGGCTTATTAGGCAAATCGGTCCTTGCATAGTAGGCCGAGAAGTGCGTTCTGGCTACTAGGTACGACATTATATATATATATATATATATATATATATATATATATATATATATATATATATATATATATATATATATATATATATATATATATCAAATAAATAAATACAAATAACATTACGTTGGGGTTCAAAGTCAAATTAAGTTTATTGAGGTATAAATACACAAAGGGACGAGGCAGCTCAAGCTATTGTCGCCCCGTTCACTAGAACGTTGGAGGGGGTTTGGTTCCTGTTGGAGTGAGTAGTTGTTAATGAATCGGTAACCTTGGGAGGGACAGCTAGCCTGGCTGGCCGCCCACACGCCCGCCGCCCACACCTGGTCCAGCAGGGGACGCAGCTGGGCCCCCACACATCACCCCGCCACCGGCCTAGTCCCCCCTCAACACTAGATCCCACCAGTATATACACCTCTGTTGTTCTAGCTGGTCCAGTGGCAACGGACCATTTTCTTGTTGTTGAGAGACCTTAGGAGGACGGGCTGGGAGTATGGTATGGCGGCCGCTGGGGGGGGGGGGCCAGGACACAGTTGTGGGGGGAGGGGCCCAGGGGCCAGATTCACGAAGCAGTTACGCAAGCACTTACGAACCTGTACATCTTTTCTCAATCTTTGGCGGCTTTGTTTACAACTATTGAACAGTTAATGAGCTTCGAAGCACCAGGAGGCTGTTTATAACAATAACAACAGTTGATTGGCAAGTTTTTATGCTTGTAAACTGTTTAATAAATGTAACCAAAGCCGTCAAAGATTGAGGAAAGATGTACACGTTCGTAAGTGCTTGCGTAACTGCTTCGTGATTCAGGCCCCAGGACATAGTTGTGAAGGGAGGGGGGGAGGGGCATCGTGGTGGGGGGGGGGAGGGACATCGTGGTGGGGGGGGCATCGTGGTGGGGGGGGGAGGGGGGAGGGTAGCTAGGGTGTGCTGTTCAACCGTCCTCTCAAATAGTGTATCAAACTCATTAGAGCCAAAAAACTAATGAACTAATAATTACAGCGGCTCGCAAAATTGACGTGGTGTCGCAGTTTCTATTGGTGGGCCCTCGGTTAGGTTAGGTTCGGGCAATTTGGTACATCAATTTAGTGATGTTGGGAACGTTCGACAGGACTCTGTTGTAGAGATTGATGGTTGAGAGGCGATGGTACAAGACATTCACGGTTGTGACTGGTAGGATGGCCAGGGTTGAT